TATATATATATATATAAACCAGAATATGTATTTGTGAGCACTTTCACAAATTTAGAGAACAATGTGATATCACAATCATGAGTAAGAGATGCAAATTTTCTAGGATACTTAATAGGACATTTAATATAAAAATGATCCAGAATCACTGTTTCAAAATCCCTACATTGGGCACTAGTAGACAAGATTTCTGTTGCCACCTTAAAGGCATGTCTGTTCTTTAGCTGGGAAAAGAACCTAAAAGCTGGGGAATGTTCCTGTGTCATTAGCCTACAGGAGCTACCTAGAACCACCGGCTCATTTCCTCTGTACAAGTCTGCTTTCAGATGCTGGGGGAACTTGGATCTGTCTCTGCTCTGTTCAGTAGCTTACTAGAAATGGGCATGACATCTTATTGCACGAGTGCTCCAAATTACAACTTAGTAACCATTATTTTAGTAGCATCAATGAAAGATTTTAATTTCGATGCTATGATCACAGACAATTAACTTACCTGCTTCAATCCGTATAGATGACTGGATGTGTAATTTCATAAACCCCAAAACTGATTAACTGAAATAAACCAAACTTACTTAGACAGGATATGAAGTTCCTAACATGTTGTCCACATTAGACAATACTTTTGTAAATAAAACTCTTCTTTATAATATTATATGAAATGTTTTTTTCCTGCCAGGTCTTTGGGAAATATTAAGAAAAAAAAATCCTGTTACATTATGTTCTAATACAATATTGTGATTATTTATTATTTCTTTGTGATCTGTATCTATAATCCTCTTTTTACAGCAAGATCTTTCGTACAATAGAGCCAGCTCTGTGACAAGGATTCTCTGTTAAATTGCCAGAAAAAAAAGTTTTCTCTTTGTAATTAACATAGTATGGTATATTACTTCTCCATACAGAATTGTAAAGTTCATGGCTAAACAGGCTTAACATTTATTTATTGTGACTATCTACACTAGACTGAAGGAAAACGGCTCTAAACCATTTCTACCACTGCCTCAATAAGAATCTAAATTACTACTTTTTCTGTTATTTTTCTGAAATCTATACGGTATGTACTTATCTGAGACAGAGCAGTTTGTCCTTAAGTTTGTAGCTATATCATGAGTTTAAAAACAAAATTAGTAGCTTCAGTCCAATAGCGACTTAAACCATGTATTTATCTTTTTGGATAGAACTGCATTTTCAGCTGCATAACTTTAAGCTTATAACCCCTTCCTCTTAGAAATACTACTGTTGAAGTAAAACTTTGTGCAAGCATTTTTTGCATGTATCCCAGACATGCAAAAAAAAGAGGGAAAAGAAAGGTTACAGAAAAAGGGAAGGGGAAATCAAAAATAGAAGGGCTGGGCTAATGGGGAAAATTCAGCTCTGGAGAGATCACTTGTACTACCCATGTAAGTGTATAACTTGAACTGCTTTTGAGTCACAGCTCATTTATGCTTCAAACCAAGACACTTAGTAACTGATAAAATCTTATCTTGGATTCTGTCTCTACTGAGATGCTGACGTTGAAAGAGCCATTTCCATGTAAATAACAGATTATCTTCCCTTGAGGTCAATGTGATGCCTGAAGCCCTGGCATGCTTCTCTGGCTTCTAAAGGATTGGGAAACTGCACTAGTTTATGATCTTCAGTAAATTAAGATATCCTAACAGGCCCTGAAATATTGTGGTTTCCTTAGATGTTCTGAAGAGTTTTAATAATTTTTAAAATAAAATTTTATTTTGGGGGGAGGAGAACTATACAAAGCTAAAACAGAAATATCAAAACAGTGTATTATGTCAGCTGCATGTTTGGTTTGTTTTTTTTTTTTTTTTCCCCCTTTGGAATTTGTACAGGGTGAGTAATAGTTTCATATTTTCATCAGGAAGCAAAATTCTAGTCCACATGAACTTTATTTTTTCTCAGTCCTTCAACTTCATTTTAAAAGCAGATTGCTTTGTGATGTGTTTGTCTTTAAAATGCTATTGTCACTTGTGGTGTAACTTCTTCTCTTTTCATAATATAGAATTTTCATCTTCGGGAACAGGGGCTTCATCATATGAAGGTTTATGTCTTCATCTGTTACTGATTTTGATTTCCATTGCCCAAACTGAGAAGTATTGCCTAAGAAAACCTGTCATCCTGAAAAATATTTCATAATAATTACTTGTCTAAAAGACTTCACCATTATGATTAAAGAGTATCAAACATAACTAACTGTATGAAACAGTTTTGGCACTGGAACTGGTTTGAAAATGTTTCTGTTTGGCTGGTGCTTCAAGCTGTACTTTGGAGTAGAGCATGCAGTTGCTTCAATATAAAGTGCTTAGTCTAACAATGGCTTGCAATTTTAGCTTAGCTCTGAGATCACAAGTATATTTGCAAATGCACAGCTCTGCAGAAGTAAATAACTGCCTAAAATTAGTTGCTGTTTTGCTTATGCTTAGTTACATAAAAAAGTCTGGAAAATGAAATCTTTTAAAACCTGGAGAGACAGCTTTTTATGTAACTGTCTAGGTTGACATCTAGTTTTGAAAGACTTCGCAGTAAATATTTATGTTGTGAGAAATAGATACAGTTGGAGTGCAGTTGAAAGGTAACAGGCATTCATCCACACAAATACTTAACTGACTACCTTTCTTTCTTAATAAAGTAGTGCTAAATTTAAGGCTGAAACAAATTTTCAGAATCAGTTTCTGTAATACATGATCATCAGCCTTCTAAATGTAAACTACTGAATTCTAAATGTAAACAAATATGAAAAATATTCTAGGTTTGTGATGTTTTGGTGGGGTTTTATTTGTTTTTAAATTTGTATTGTGTTTAATTTATTAGTGGTTGCATTAATTCAACACAGATCTGTGCCTTAAATCTAGTCTAATGAGATCTGATGTGAGCAGTTTAGTGTTAGAATTTTTTTTAGATTGGACAGTATTCCAACAACAGTCTGAATATTTCTTCATTCAAATTTTGATCAGTTTCTGATTCAGATCTAAGGGTATGAAAGTATCCAAATAAACAAACAAAACAAACAAACAAAAAACCTGCAATGTTTTGTTTTATATTTTGCAGATTTTATGTGACTTTATGTTCAGAGGGTAAATTACATCAAGACATTGCATTCATTTTTATTATTGTTGTCACTCAGTAGTGACAGTGGCAAAATCATACAAGGTCATACAAGATGTGGCCCTTTGCTTTTACTTTCTCACCTCAGCCATTCTTTCCTGTGATAAATACATCCTTCTTTGTACTGCAGATTATTCTTTGATACCTGTTGCAAGGTTTAAAAACCAAGTCTCTTCTTTATTTTTTACCAGGATCATTTGTTCAAAGACAAAATCTAGGATACAAGAAGGAAAAGAATATAGAATCTTTCCTGTTCACTCAAATCTGTGTAGTATTTTTTTCTGCATGTGTGTTGCTTACCTTGTTTGAACTCTCCTTGCACTAATTCTGTAATTTATCAGTCAACAGGCTTGGCATGTGTTTGATTGCTACTGAAAGAACAATTCACTCCCTTACGTATAGATTTTAATTGGCTCTAAAAAGAGCTTTTTAGAATCTTTTCAAGGCATGAATGCAAACCCTGTATGTATTTTCCTGCTAAAAAAGCAGAACACTGTTCAAAAATAGGTTATGACAGTAAGAGTTAGTGACGGAAATAACCTTTTCAAGTTCTTAGATGCCTTAAGTATCTGAAAATAAACAACAGGTTTGGTATGCAGTTCCCTAGCTTAGCTATTAAAACTGAAAAATATCTAAATCCTTATTAATTTTTTTTAACCTAGATTAAGACATAGGGAAATTTTGTTAGTCATGGAATAGGAATAGTGTACAAATTAGAGTTTATTGTCTTCATAATTAACTGAGAATTAACTGAGTTTGCAGACTTCAGTCTTGTATGAATTTTAGCTTATTGAAAAGGGAGTTTGTGAGAATCAATACGCTTGTAACAGTTATAATTAGAGTTTGCAGTAGTCTGTGTTCTACCCTGGAGTACAACCACGGAGAAGTTATACTTAGGAGGATGAACTATGCAAAAGAGTTTGGTTTTTTTTTTTTTCAGCTACAGTGTGCATCTGTGTTGCAGCTGTTTAGCTAGAACAATGGCCTATGCATTAAAAAATTGCAAAGGTTATACTTGGTTTACTTTACTGTTAGAAAAGATGTTTTCTGTTAACATAAGAGCGTATTACTCTTTCACAAAAATGAAAAACTGATACCTTGAAATAAAAAACAGAATTTCTGTTTATTCTGTAGGGTTTTTGCTGCATGAAGTAGTATCTACTAGGTAATGTACAGGGAAGAAGGAAGTTAGGAACAAGTACAGCCACTGGTATAATCACTTTAAATTCATATAGTGTACCTAGAGAATAAAGTGTCCTTACTTTACTAATAACTAATACCTAACTAATACCTAACATTTGTTTTACTGAGTTTGATAGTAATGTTAATTGTTTTTCTGTCTCTGAGTTGCAATTAACAAAGATGTAATGGTAATGTTTCCTTCTAGTAAACACTGGAGAAACTGAAGTTGGCTTTTTACCAACGTTTGGGCCTTGTTACCTAAACTTCTATGGAAGTCCAAGGGAATACACTGGATTTCCAGACCCATATGATGAATTAAACTTTGGAAAGGTCAGTTTCTTTATTCATAGTTTTTAATAAAAGGAATAACCCAAATTGTTTTTCATCAACACATTAATTCATTTTAATGTTTTGTTTGGGTTTTTTTAACATTACACTCCTTTTGCTGTTTTTTCTTAATAACGCTTTATATTTATGACTAATAAGGAGGTATGATAGTATTTTCTATTCTTATCTGTTTTGATTTTGAAGGAGCACCAGTGATTTTGATAATTTTCACTCTCTGTATCTCTGCATGTATTTATGTTTATTTCCTTGTTTTCATAAATACATATTTTTAACTTCTAGCAGTAATTAAAGCCAAATTTTGAAGGAGCACCAGTGATTTTGATAATTTTCACTCTCTGTATCTCTGCATGTATTTATGTTTCTTATTTCCTTGTTCTCATAAATATATATTTTTAACTTCTAGCAGTAACTAAAGCCAACTGTTTTATTTCATTTTTCCAAATATGTACATCCAGGCCTCTGCAGAAGTTTTGAGAACACTTCAGTGAAGCCAGAATCATGTACAGCAAAAGAAAGAGCTACTCTAGGAGCAATAGATAAAATGCGATTCAATGTGTGATTTTGTTACAGGGAGAAGGAGTTGCTTATAGAGGGAGAATTCTGGTTGAACTGTCTACAATTCCTGAAAGCAAACCTGATAATAAAAAGCTAGAGACAATTCCTAGTGATGACTTACTTGTTGTGGAGGTAAGTCTTTGATTTATTGTCAGTATTGGTAACAGAGATGTGCCTTGGCTGCTTGTTTTCGGAGAATGATCTAAATTACTAAAATCAAAACAACTGAGTTGAATATCAGAATTAAGAGAGATGGTTATTGATGGTGTGACTATAAAAATGTCATACCCTTGTAGCATCAAATGTGAATTTAAAAACAGTTTTATAATCTCAAATACAGTTGTTATACACACATCTTCTTGGTTGCTTCTCAGAAAGTAGTAAAAATACTAACATAGCATTTTCATAATTGAAATGTTATAATTCTACTATAGTTGTGGATCCTGTTACAAGTGTCAAAATACAACTAAAAAGGTTCTTCTTGTAGAAGTATCAGCGCCGACGAAAGTTCTGCTTGGCTGCTGTCTTTCATTCTGCTACCATGCTGCAAGACACTGGTGAGCCTATCCAGTTTGAAGTGAGCATTGGTAACTATGGCAACAAGTTTGATACAACCTGTAAACCTTTGGCATCAACAACTCAGTACAGTCGTGCAGTTTTTGATGGTAAGGAGGCTGCTGGTGTGGGGTTGAAATAATTTAACATTCTCTTTTCAAGGTCCTATTTTATAGGTTTGGCATTACAGCCCTAAATGCACTAAAAACCTATTGAAAACCTATGAAAAAGAATGTGTGGCTCTTCACAGCTTTTAAGATGAAATTACATTTGAATAATACATGCTTCAAAGCCATTGACTTTGGTGAAGAAATTTTCACAGAATTCAGTGAAATCTTTTGACCATGTTCTAGATGTGTACAGGAAAAACAGCAAGAAAAAGATCACATTACTGTAAGCTATCTAAAAACTAGGAATTAAATAGCAAAAATACCCTTTGATCATTCTAATTTAGAATAAAAGAAAAACTTGTTTTTAAACCTGGCAGCCTAGAAGAAAACAACCTTGCTAGATCATAGGGAAATATATTTTGGCTATAAATTTTTTTTTATTAATTGCAAACAGTAGGAGTTCTTTTTTTCTGTGTATTAGATGAAGTAGTCAGGTTTGACTTCTATTTCAGAGGTGCACTTACATTAATGTGCTATCTACCTCAGTGTGTTCTGGGAGAGAATAACTAACATGTTAACAGATAATTTATTGAACAACAATCCATGGGGTTTTGAAACAATTTGAAAAAAAAAATACCATCCAACAGACACTGCAGTGGCTGAAAAATACAAATCCTTTGATAAGTTTGAACTAGCTTGTATGTTCTTAATGCATTGTAGTACAAAAATGAAATCAATGTAGCAACTTGTGCAGTGTACAGTATGTATTCCTGCCATGAATTTTAACTCTGACATACCAATGTTTCACACCAGGTAATTATTACTACTACTTGCCATGGGCAAACACAAAGCCGGTAGTAACACTGACTTCCTTTTGGGAGGACATAAGTCACAGATTAGACCCTGTGAATGTAATCCTAAACATGGCTGAAAGACTGGTAAGACACTTAAGATCTTTCTTTTGCTGATATATGGAACAGTTTTCTGACACTTTTCCATCACTTTTTCCTATTTGAAATTAAACATAGCTCAGTGTAACAAAGGGAATTACAAATCATAGGTCTGTATTCTGGGAAGGCCCAGCACACTCCTGCTTTAATCTGCAGGGAATTCCCACAGGAAAGAAGAGTCCTTGGTGTGGGTTGGGGGCATGTTAAGTCTGTAGAACTGTTTGCTTTGGAAGTTAGATGCATTATCATGTATTGTTAAATACAATGAGAAAGAACATAGGAATAAAGAACTATGTTACATATGAGTCAAGTTTGAACACCTGAGTCTTTTTTGATTTTGGTTTTATACATAAAAATAAATAAGATTAAAACCTTGAAACTCATATTGACCATAAACCACAATGGAAGTTTATAAGTACAAATCCTTTTCTTTTAAATTCCTCAGCAATCCAACTTAGCCACCTTAAAATCAGGAATGCAGGCTAAAATTTCTGAAAATCAGTTAGCTGAGATGTGGTTGAAGCTGATTGATGAACTTACAGAAGATATCAGGTAAAAATACCTTTTTTATCTCTTACGTTATCATTCTGTGCCTGCTCAGAATCTTCACTATTGCCTTTACTAATCAGAAAACAAATTCTAAGGTCTATAAAACAGATTATTGCTATGAACTGACCTGATAATTGGAGTTCCAAAAGTCTCTGAAAGTAGTAAAACAGTATGGAAATTGCCAGTGAAGTCATCCATCTGGTTTCGTAATTCTCCTTTGACTTAGTCACTAGCAGTTACAGAACAGCATGTCTTGAAAAAAATCTAAGGCAGGACTGTTCTGAAAATGTGAAATTGATCTCTGCTGTCTTTCTACCATCTTGCCTTCTTTACAGTTCCTCATGTACCTTTGTTTATCCATGTTTCAATGTTATTTCTGAAACTGAGGGAAGAAATTCCATTATTTACTTGTAAGCCCAGAATATTAAAAAAAAAGAAGCTATTTAGAGCTTAAGGGCCATAAAGGCCCTTACATTTTTGAGTAAGCCTTAAGTCAACTTATCTGTATGTATAGGAGTGTTCAGGAAAGGCAATAGGAGTTAGCACTTAGGGTTCTGAAGGAAAATAAATTCTAAACAGGGAAGAATGAATTGTATAAAAAAGAGACATTAATGAAAGGGAGACACTGAAGTGAGGAGAGACACCTGAAAAACGTTAAACACGTGGATGATGAGACAGCACAGGAGAAGGAAAGAGAAGATGAGAGAACAATTACTATCCATTAGAGGAAGTAACAGAAAACATTAAATGAGAGAACAAATATATTAAGCTGTAGAGCCAATATAAAAGTGAACAGAGGAATAAGCAAACAGTAGAGATCAAAATATATTAGCAGACAATTATATGATAGAAAGCTTATGTCAAAATACAAACTAGTAACTTCATAGAATACTTGCTGTGCTCTAGAAGAAAGAAAGAACTGACATATTTTAGGAAAGCAAAATGTGAAGGGCAAACTACTGTCACATGGAGCCATCTAGTGAGTGGAGGAACTTCAAGTTTTTATCATTTTTGTCAGCCCGTCTTCCTGACACACATCTGCACTGTTATTAATTTAGTTCATTATTTTATAAAATATCTTATTACTCAACAGTTATGGAGCAGTATCACCTAGATATCTCAACCAAAGGAGCTTCCTGTTGTTCATTGGATATAATGCTCTTCATGCCTTTTTTCAGTAATGAAGCCTGTGTCAAAGACAATACACTGTGTTGAATTCCTAGAATAATTTTCCGTGCCCTGTTGAAGTTTAAATGAGTTAGGAGTTTAAGAGAGTTCGTAGTCCACTATTTAAACCTAAAATGATGTGACTTTCTGGAAGTTCTGATCAGATTGGTAGAACTACAGTGGCAGGCACAGTAATCACTATCAAGGTTCCGCAGAACCAGAGCCCTTAGAAGTACATGGTTTGTCATTAAAAATAGGTCAGACTCAGTCTTTTCAAACTGTGTTTAGTTTTTCAAACTGTGAATTTTAATTTTTTTTTTCTTGATTAAGTATCATATTAAAGACCTCTGAATGAACTCTTTAAAGGGATATAGTCTTTGGTCTTTGAAAACCTGCCTTTTCCTCAAACCTCCACCAGCTCCAAAAAGCTCTTTTTTCCTGTACTGTGATGCTATGGGATTTCTTCATTCCATTGAGTAGTTGTTCTGCCCCCTGGTGACTCAGAAGTTCTATGTCATGGATTTCTTTCAGAGTTTGGTATTTTTATGCCAGAGGGTTAGGTAACTCTAGTCATAGATACAACCCATATTTGACGTTGAGTTTCTGAAAATTTACAGTTTCCAGTGAAGGAAAGGAAACTAATCTTAGTCTGAAGGCACTGATTTAATTTTTTAGAGAAAATAATTTTCTAATTTGAATACATAGGGAAATGGATTTTGATTAGTTTAGCAGCAATTACATTAAAGCTTACAGCTCCAGCTATTCCACATTGGTGCTTGTTATGTAAGCACAGCATTTCCCTTGCTTGCTGTAAACACTTTGACAGGTGGAAATCTTTGCAGAAATAGATGCTATAGCACTATTCTGGTGGGTTTTCAATTGGAGGAAATAATAGCACTCAGTCTGTTGCCACTGTATGCACGTCCACATTTAGTGTGTGGCTAAATAAAATCTACTCTAGGTTATTAACCATAATAAATACTCTCTTTTCAGTAAACCATTTCCCCACATAGAAGGCAAATCTAATATTACAGTCCTCGACACCCAGATAGAAAAACTGCGCCTCAAGTCTCTCAAACAGATTGGAGAAGCAGCAGCAAGGATGAGAAATGAAGCTACTGATGTGAAAGCCACTCTGACAGAAATTGAGGATTGGTTGGATAAATTGCTGCAACTGAGTGAAGAGGTTAGTCCTATACCAGTGGTTCAGTTTAGAAATAGCTGTCTAACACCAAACTGCTGCAGTGTTCACTGCTGAGCAAACAATATCCACTCTCCTCAGAACAGTAATTTCAGATGCTTTGAAAGTAAACATGTTCCCTTCTGTAATTAGGATTTACTTAAATATAATGTTCTAGTGTGTTAGCTGTCTTTACTGACAACATGTGTTGGGAAATAACCACTCTGTGATTTGCAGAATAGACTATTCTGTTCAAAGTGACAGTATTTTGTCCTTTCCTTCCTTCAGTAATTGCAAGTCACATTGCTGGTTCAAGGACTGCAGCCTATATGTTGTACTTCTGCAAATTGCTAGCCATAATAATAAACTTCTAACAGTTAAATCTGTTTCTGTGAGTTTTTTTTTTTAATTTTTCAGCAACATTTTAAGCTTTCATCTCTGTTATCTCATAACTGATTTTCACATCATTGTAGAAATGTTTTATTTTTTAATTTGTCACTTCTGCTTTGAAATATTACGGATTTTTTTTTTTTTAAACAGCAATTAATTCAGCAGATTTGCACCTAGCTACAAAAGTGCACACAAAGCTGTAAAAAGATAGTAGGCTGTTTCTGTCTTCTGCTAAAATTCTTAAGATGATCTGCCCTTAATGTGGAAGCATTAGAAGCACTTAAATATGTAGCAGGTTGATCCAAAGCATTAGCATTTGGGCTCAGTCATTACAGTTACCATAAAGGAACAGAGATACAAAATGTCTCTGGAAAAATTTGCAAACGATAGAGGAGCTGGGTTTTTAATAAAACTCATTTGCTTTTCAACAATCTCAATATCATTTTTAATTATTGCTTCAGAACTATGTATTACATTATTTGCAAAGTAAAGCAATTTCCTCTGTCATAAATTGGAGTTAATTATTGCTTCTAAGTGATAAATCCTTTGACATAAATCCTAATTTATGTTTCTGTTGTCTAAGCAATAGAAACTGTTGTCTGCAATTAGTTTAACACTGTATTAATTACTGTTCTTAACTTTCTTTTCCCCACAAATAATCCACAGCCCCAAAACAGTATGCCTGATGTAATCATCTGGATGATCCGAGGGGAGAAAAGACTGGCTTATGCTCGTGTTCCTGCACACCAAGTGCTGTATTCCACAACAAGCCCTGAATCCTCCGGTAAATATTGTGGAAAGACCCAAACAATCTTCTTAAAGGTACTTGTCCCCCCCCCCAAAAAAAATAACTCACTCCCTAAACCATGGTGCCTTCTGATATTAGCATGAAACATGCAAACAAACTTGTAAACAATGAGGTGTCAAAACTCAGGACAGAGCAAAATCCAGCTGTATATAGCTCCTCCAAAATATCACAGAAACTGTAATGAAATGTTCATCATCAGCCTATTAGAACCAGCATCAGCCCCTAACTCTGAGGCTTTTCTGAAACAGTTGAAAATGGTGATGGGACTTTTGAACTATTACTGGGCTTGGTGTTTTGAGGTTGGACATGAATGGAGACCATTAGAGAGAATAATTAGTGTAAGTAATGGAGACCATCAGAGAGAATAATTAGTGTAAGTAAGAGAAGTTCCAAAAACCTATTGAAAGTTTTGGAGGGTTTTCTGCCAGTGGTACAGAATGGAGCATGTCTACACCCAGAAGTTTCCTAGTACATCTCTCTGCATTGTCTTACTCTTGAGTAGGAATACCTTTCTCCATTTAAGTTTATATTGTCTTTAATTTGAAGAAACTTAACCAGACAAAAGGCAATCTGACTGTAGCACAGCAGTATTTACAGAGTTTGTCAGTGTACATTGATGCTTCAAAGCAGACAAACCTGTATCTTCAAGGTTTTATGCAGGCCCCCTTATTGATGCGTTGCTTCTACATCTAGTGAACCATTCTAACTAACCTCTGCATTTCCAGAGTCTCCTGATGAGCAACACTAATGTCAACATTAAAGTTATAAGTTATTGTCATATTTAAAAACTCATTGCTGGATGAAACTTGGGAGACAGTGTACAAGAACAGGGATGATACTACTGTTATTGTGTTTGGTTTTTACATGCCCTAGGCAGGTACCATTTAAAGGATGTTTCCTTCCTGAACTGTTTATTACTGGCTTTTGAGGTAATGCAGTACAGGAACAGATAAATAAATCATGTATTTCATGTATTATTAGTCAAACCTATGTTATTGTATGTATTTTACTGAACGCTACAATAACCTGTATAACATGACAAAGACTTTTGTGTGCCAGTACCCACAGGACAAGACAAAAGATGTCAAAATGCCCGTGGAGCTGCGAATTAACATTTGGCTTGGGCTCAGTGCAGTTGAAAAGAAGTTTAACAGCTTTGCAGAGGGAACGTTCAGTGTTTTTGCAGAAATGGTATGTGCACCTTTGCTTTCTTACTTTAAGCGTGGACATGAGTGTTATGAATCCAATGAAACTGGAACTTTTTTGAATTTTTTTTTTTGCATGCTGGGAAGAAAGGGGGAGTAGTGTGTATTATACTGAAACAAGTAGACCTCATTCAAGGCAATTAATGATCAAGTCCATTGTGCCTAGTAGGTGAACTTCAGCAGACCAGATTCTGAACTGGTTCATCAGGTAAAAACCTGGTTAATGCCAGTGATTTCAAAGACATGTATTTTTTTGATTTTTATCAGTGTAATTAGGATTTAGATCAATACCATTATGTTTTGGCATGTGAGTAACCCTTTTACTTTAATTGCTTCTTTACTTCTACAAATGATACTTGGATACAAGTGGGTTTGCTTAATAATGGTTCTTTTGTAGAAGTAGCAAATTGACTGTTACAGGAAAAACTGGTCAAAACTAGTAGATTTGACTTACAAAAGGCTATAATGTGATAATGTTTCAATTGTATGAGTTAACAAACTTGGAATAAAAATTCTTGGAATAGTCCCACAGCATATAATAGAGATTCTGAAAGGAAACGTTAAGCAGCAGATGTCATTTTTATGCCCCATTACCTAATGGTGCATGTAATCCTATATCAGTATAATAGCTAGTGAAACTAGACATTTTTACAGAGGATTGTGTCACTGTTGCACTTAAGCTTAAATTTTTAGTAGTGTTGTAGTAAGTCACTTAAAATAGTCAATAGAATCATTCTGGTTGGAAAAAACGAAGTCCAACCATTAACCTAACACTGCCAGGTCACCACTAAACCTTGTCGCTGAGCACCTCATATACTGATCTTTTAAATACCTCCAGGGATGGTAACTCCACTACCTCCCTGGGCTGCTTCTTCCAATGCCTGATTTCCCTTTCAGTAAAGAAGTTTTTCTTAATATCCAACCTAAACCTGTCATGGCACAACTTGAAACCATTTCCTCTTGTCCTATCACTTTTTACTTAGGAGAAGAGTCTGACTCCCACCTCACTACAACCTCCTTTTCAGGTAGCTGTCGAGAGTGATATGGTCTCCCCTGAGCCCCCTTTTCTGTAAGCTAAAGAGGCCCAGTTCCCTCAGTCTCATAAGACTTGTTCTCTAGGCCTTTCACCAGATTCGTTGCCCTTCTTTGGATACTCTCCAGAACCTCAGTATCCTTCCTGTTGTGAAGAACTCAAAACTGAACCCAGTACTCACGGTGCAGCCTCACCAGTGCTGAGTACAGGGACATAATCGCTTTCCCAGTCCTGCTGGCCACACTATTTCTGATATGAGCCAGGATGCTGGTGGCCTTCTTGGCCACCTGGGTACACTGCTGGCTCATGTTCAGACAGCTGTCAATCAACATCCCCAGGTCCCTTTCCACTGGGCAGCTTTCCAGCCACTCTTCCCCAAGCTCATAGCTTTGCATGGGGTTGTTATGACCCAAGTGCAAGACCTGGCACTTATTCTTGTTGCAGTTCATACCATTGGCCTCAGCCTATTCATCCAGCCTATCCAGATCCTTCTGAAGAGCCTTCTTATCCTCAAGCTTATCTACAGTCTCACCCAGCTTAGTGTTGTCCACAAACTTACTGGGGATGCACTCAGTCCCCTCGTCCAGATCATTGATAAAGATATGAAACAGAATTGGCCCCAGTACCAAGCACTGGGGAACACTGCTTGTGACTGGCCACCAGCTGGGTTTAACTCCATTCAGTGGAGTTAATTCAATGGAGTTAACTCCAGTCAATGGATAGTCAAAGTCATTATTTAAGTACAGCGTTTAAGAAGCTATTGACTATCTGATTTTTTGCTCTTCACACAGTAATCCAACAATTTTACAGGAATAAGAGCAGAAAACTCAAGTATGAACAATTCTATTAGCATAAGGGGAAACATACTACATAAACTGGGTTGGCATCAGAATCTTGTACCTGGTAGCTTCCATAATAAGACCGTAAGTCAGTTTTACACATTATCAATGAAGAGATTATAAATTGGAGGGGATCTGAGATGGGACAGAATGAGAGGATCATGCATTTAGGTAACAGAAGAAACTTGACTGAATAATGTAATGGAATTTTATTTAGCAAAGCTTTAATTTGGAGGAAGTTTGACTGTAGTTGTAGAGAGGCATTAAATTGAGGAGATAGTTTAGTTTAGCAGTGAAATCATTGCTTACCAGACAGCACAAAAGAAAATGAAAGAAGCAAATTAATGATGACAAGTAATGTGGAAATGGAGTATTTAATTTCAGAGAAAGGACATGTATAACACAATGTTTCAGTTGCAATAGTTACATTTTTTTTTTTCTTCCTAAAAGCTTTTTATTATTTCTGAAGTACTGTTTTGTTTTGTTTTGTTTTCTTTCTTCTCAAACAGTATGAAAATCAGGCTTTTCTTTTTGGAAAATGGGGTACCTCAGGACTTGTTGGTCGTCACAAGTTTTCCGATGTCACAGGAAAAATCAAACTGAAAAGAGAGTACTTTCTACCCCCAAAAGGCTGGGAATGGGAAGGGGAATGGATGGTTGATCCTGAAAGAAGGTCAGATTTTTTTTTTTTTTATGTTATGCAGGCAGGAGTAAAAGATTTCAATCTCAGAGATGTAGCGTAAAAGCTCATGTCTGCTTTCTTAGCTGAGAAAGATTCTTAAGCTGAACTTCCTAGGACAGCAAAAGCCAAATAGTCAAAGCTGCTTAGTGCCTCATCTTTACGAAAGGGATAATAATAAGTAAGTTCTCAGATGCTACTGTGATGGTTTCAGACAAGACCCTTAGATAGCTAGAACTTCCATAGCTAGAAACTTAACCCTGACATCCAGTATAAATCTGCAGTTCATGTACCAGTACCATTACAGCATTTGTGTGGTCCTTTGCATGCAGCAGGGTGTTTTGTGTGTGGGTTTATTTCACTAAATGTTGAGAAGTTCCATTGCCCTCGTTACACAACCGTCAAAGGTTTTTTTCTCTGACTAAAGGCAGGGGATGTTTCCACAGCCTAAAGTTGTGGTGCCGTGTTACAATTCCTTCCCTGACAAACCAAATTCATGAGGTGTTAAGGCTCCCCCAGCTCTAGCAGGTTCAGTCTTGCTCTGTCACAGGTTTTCAACTCCTGAGTTATGCTAGTTCAGCTATTTGGCTTGCCACACTTTAAACCAGACTGGGTAAATTATTTGTTTCATAAACAAAACCCAGGATAAGAAAGAGATTACTTTATTTTTGTTAAAAGAGAAGGCACAGTCCATTTTAAATTCTTGTATTTTGATACTCAAAAAAAAAAAAAAAAAAAAAACCAAACCAAAAAGGACTGTTGCTATAGAAAAACTGTGCAGGAAAGATATATGCTATTCTTTGATCCACTTTAAAATCATATTGGTTTATATGTGTCCATGGATGGATTTATTTTCATATTCGATGACTAGTTTTTATTTCAATGAATAATCTGACATGAAGAAAGGCAGTAACAGATATGGAGCTATTTTCTCAGATAATGGGGGAAAGAAAAAAACAAACCCTACTGTTAAAATGTATAAGGATATTTATGCCCTGGATCTGTTTTTATTGGAAAATAATCTGCATGGTTTTATTTGACCACCAGATGGCATTTTAGAACATACTTCAGTGCTTTCTGAATCAGTTAATCACAAGTGGCAATCAAGGCTATTTAGTCCGATTTAATGTTCTCTAATTTCTTTCACTTGTAATTTAGAAAAATCTTAGCCAAATGATTGCTTTGCCCTGTCAACATCATAAAGGAAAACAGAATTAAGTACACTGATCAATTTTAGTGTGAAATTAGAGATGCATAATACTATCATGTGCAGTTTGGGTTTTCCTACCTCAGGTATATGGTATTTTTAATTTTTATTTCCAAGAGGAAGTGTTGAAAGCAGATCCTGAATATCAGCAGTTAAAACACTCCTGCTAGTCACTCATGAGTAATGATTCCTGCTATTGCTATTGCAACTGGCATTGCTTCCATTTTAGGAAGGCATTCTAAGGAAATAAATAGTACTCTGTTAATAAATAGAACTTTACAAAGATGGACAATCCAAAATTCCTTCACACATGCACATTTTGTATATTCTTTCTAGATAGGCTCTCTAACGAACTAAAATGCATTTGGTTTAGTGTTATATTTGCTTTGGACTTGCAGTTTGTTGACTGAAGCTGATGCTGGTCATTGTGAGTTTACTGATGAAGTATATGAAAATGAGAGTCGCTATCCTGGAGGGGAATGGAAAGCAGCTGAAGACTGTTACACAGATGTGGTGAGACAAATTTTTCACTGGATAAATAAAGGTTTAGGACAAGGAGTTTTAGAACATGCTACACAGTGTATTTCATCTGTTAATGCATGTAACTGTTACGTTCTCCCTGCATAACAGAACGGAGAAAAAGTTCCACCACCACGTGAGTTCACTTGTCCTCCTGGGTGGATGTGGGAAGATGATGCTTGGAAATCCGATTTAAATCGAGCAGTGGATGAGCACGGTAAGATGTACTGTTTAGCTGCTGATTGCTAGGACGATTTGTCTGTTCTGAAAGAGGATGCATGTCAAGACTGTAGCAATGTCCTGAGCATGATAGTGATTGACCACTATCATGAATAGAGAAAAACATCAAAGAAATATTTGGGTAACAGTTGCTTAGGGCATCAGATAAAATGCCATCGAGAAAGTGTTCACTGTCTGCAGCTGTTTCCATTTCTTTCTATTGTTTCTATGAGGCACTGGAGCAGGTTACCCAGAGAAGTTGTGGATGCCTCCTCCCTGGAAGTGTTCAAGGCTAGACTGGATGGGGCTTTGAGCAACCTGATCTAGTAGGTGTCTCTGTCCATGGCAGGTCGAGACATGGAACCCCTGTAGTTGCACCAAGAATAAGCGGCAAAGCCACGTTTAGATCTATCTGGTAATGTAACTTAGAGCCTGTAGCCTGGGGACAAGTCATCAAGCAGTGCTAAGAGGTGAATCAGATCTGGGGACCAAAGGAAGTCAGGAACCTGTCTGTGTTGGTCATACACCACAGAATTGCGTGAAGGATTCCTTTGTTGTTGAGAGCAGACTAACTGCACTGAATTTGTGTGGGAAGGCAGCCATGCAGGACTGATTGGGTTGAAATCTTAACAGTATAACTCATTATTAGGCAGTTCTGAAATGAAAAAACTTCCAAGTCTTTCTGTGAAGAATCAGACATCGCTAGACAGTGTTTCAGATTGGATGGAAAATCCTAAGTGCACAAAGCCACCATTTTTCCTGCAGTTGCTTGGGCAAGACAAAATTAAAACTGTTACCAGCCTAGCAAGTTGTGATACAAGCATCCTCATGAGACAATAATTTGGATTCTAGAGCAAAAGGAAAAAGTAGTCAATCTCTCATAGCAAAGTATTTACAGGACACTGGTTTGATATTCTGAAAACAAAATGAATAGTAAAAGCAAAACAGAAGGTTGTAGAAGATTCTGGAAAGCCCAGAATTTTGCTAAACTGTCATGAATTTTAATTTGTTCTACAATAGCTGAAAACTTCCAAATAGCTATTGTTTTTAAATATAAGTGAAATAAATGGCTATTTGAGTAGAAATAAAAATATTTATCTTAAAGAGTACTGACTTCTGTCTTTACTGGAGCCTCTGGTAGGAGTCTGTAGTACCTTTTTAATAAGCAATCAATCTAAATAAAAGTCCGAGTCCTAGATAGCTGACAACTGATATAATATGTACAGTAACAGGTTTACCAGGCCTTAAACTTCCATGAACAGAGTTAAAATACTTGGCGTTCCTTCAAAAACAAAGCTGTCAGAGTTGCAAGAATACACAGGACATTACACTCTTACTTAAAATTAAGGATGAATTTTCCCAGTGGTGAAGTAAGAAAATGTGATATCAATACACCTATCATTTGAAAAAACAAGAATGCAAAGGAAAGAACTTAGAATATATTGTAGGTGTGCTAATGTTGAGCTTTTAATTGTTATATACAGCCCATCACAAAATGTCATCTGTTGCTCCCCAGCTATTGGGCGTTTAGGGTTTGCAACATCAAGTAAGTCTTGTGTGACTAAAGCTTCATCCGCTTTAGCTACAATAACTATTTCCTGTACTTTTCTTCATTTTATCTTGTTTGTGTTTTGGAAATAAACCAACTAATCAATTCTGTTTTAGGATGGGAATATGGAATTACTCTTCCTCCTGACACTAAGCCGAAGTCATGGGTTGCTGCAGAGAAAATGTACCATACGCATCGACGACGACGACTGGTGCGGAAACGTACGCGGGACCCAGCTCAGGCAGTAACTGCAGGACGGGTGAGCAGAGAGATGCAGTCAGAAACTGTCACACAGTGACAGTCTGAGTTTCCTTTTTAAAAAAATACACGTGAGATTACCTATTTCAAGAATAAAGAAAAAATTTAATACAAAACAAAACAAAAAATGTAGCACCACCTTGTATATTTTCTTTATAACCCTTTTCTTTGTCTTTTTGTTTCTGATGGTCCCAGCTTTTGCTTATGAGGGGATTATTACGCCTGCCAGAGGAAGTGCCAAATTTTTTCATTACATTTATACAATGCTCCTTATAACAAAGATTTATGTCTTCCAGGGAATGTCATCATATGAGGATCAAGAAGGATGGGAATATGCCTCCTTAATTGGCTGGAAATTTCACTGGAAACAACGCAGTTCTGATACTTTCCGCCGAAGGCGATGGAGACGAAAAATGGCTCCCTCAGAGACACATGGTGCAGCAGCAATCTTTAAACTTGAAGGTGCTCTGGTAAGGGGCAAAGTATACAAGAAGCCTTTAAAAGTTCCATCTGTTAATTTACAGTAAACAAACAATTAATTATCTCTGCTGTTTTAGTCCCTTAATTGTTAAATGGATATATAACTGAGGAACAAATACAATTTATATTGTTTAAATTGTTCAAATTCTGAAAAGGACCATTAAAGTCTGAGACTCTTGCATAACATGGCTATTAATTTATTTTTCAAATTATTACATTATGTGGGATTTAGAACAAAAAGCGAAATTACTAGATGAGCCTTCTGTAAAATGAAAAGATGGCTCACGCTTTTCATGCACATAATTTAGATGTATTAACATCAGCTCAAGAAGCAATAGGCACTGAAATAGCTGTCCCTGATTGGTTGTTTATACATACAAATATTAAACACAAGGATAGCAAAGTGTTGAAGAAGCCAGAATGTTGTACATCAAAAGTAGATTATCAGAATGTAAATATTCCTCAAGTTTTCAGGTTAATGCAGCTTCATATATAAGCTCTATTTACCAAAATACAAATTGGAGCACTTTGGTTTTTTAAAAATTATTCTGAGTCTGATTATATACCATTAAGAAAAGTTTGTACTTTTTTTCCTTGGTTTATTTATCTTTTTTTGCACCAAATGTTGACCCATGATTCATTGATAGCATTTTCTTTCTCCACTTAATGTGGTTTCACAGACTTCAGTTTCTCTTCTGACCATATTTCCTGGTCCATTGCTAGGCTAATGCCTTAGAGTAAATAGTTCTCTGCAACAACACAGTGCAGAAGACCAGCAACCTCCTCTTCAGTAAGAGCTGATAGATAGCTAGTATATCTCCAGAAAGAAGACATTCTCCAAAGCAAGCTGAAATGACACAGCTTCAGTGGCAACAATAAATGACCTTTGGACACAAGTAAACATCTTTTAAAGTACATTTACTCAGGAAAGTAAATTTCTCCTTGTTTTGGAGGAGAGACTGAAACCCATATATGCCCACAAAGCCCACATTTATGAGGCTCCTTCTATGTTTCTAAATATGCATTAACTTTTTTCCCCTATATGTCCAGGGAGCAGACACTAGTGTTGATGATGGAGAAGGGAAGAGCTCAGACAAAACCAAGGAATCGGCTACAAAGGTGTTTGGTGCCAATACACCACTTGTTTCCTGCTACTTTGACAGTAGGTTCTTTAACAGTTCCTTTCTCATCACCTCTGTTTCTCCCTGGTCTCAAACAGAATTGTAATTCTTTGTGGTTTACATCTAGGTTTACATACCTTCTGTTAAAATTGCTATCTGATCCTTCATTTGGCCTTATTTAGGCTACTAAAACAAAAATTACAGTCATTTCAGTATTTCAGTCCACTATCATGCAGACATTTAAAAAAACTGTATGGGAGAGGAATTCTAAAGCTATTTCAGACCCTGAATTTTAGCCTAAATAATGTATTTTTAGTATTAGCATCCCCACATAGCAGTACAGGGAGCTAAGCCAGCATAGATGATGTACAGGTATTTTTTTTTTTTTTTTTGCTGTTTTAGATCACTTAACCAGCTCAATGCAGGGTCAGACAAATGCCTGACACAGAGGAAAGCAGTAATGCCATGTAGTTGAGTTGGCAAAGCAAACAAAACTGTAACTTTGCCAACCTGGATTGGCTATAAATGCCTTAGAATCTCTACAATGGGATTCACAAAAGCAGTGACACTGAGATGGGAGCTGCTAGTATTAGTTAACAGGAATAGAGGCCAGTCCCATCCACTCCTAAGACTCAAAATCCTTTTTGAGGATCCCTGACTGAAACACTTGTCTTTACTTGGGACTCTACAGAACTTGTTCTTCTTGCTGGGAATAGGTGCCTGAATCTTAAATTTTATCTTTCAGAAGCTGAGGGAGATTATTGCAGTTTCTTTTAAGTAATGACCACAGCAAGAGAAAAATGGCACCTTTTCCTGCCAGAGTTGAGAGGGTTCAGCTCATTGAGGCTATAAATGGCTCAGATTCTTCCAAAAGCTGAAAGTTTTAGAGTTGACATCTTTTAAAGAAAAGCTGTAGTAACTTCACCACACACTGTCCTGGGCTTGGGCCACTCTCACATCTTCCTTTTAAGCTATTCCACCTTGCCTTCAGTGATTTTGTTTCATTTTTTTTTAAATCTTTCAGCCAAAGAGACAGTTCCAACTGGAATAATTTTCTGGAGTTAATAGCTAATGTGAAACTCCCAGGTCCCTGCAGTGTTGTAGTGAATACTTAGTACAGGTATGCCCAATTATTGATTCTCTTTGAATGAGTGAGATCACCACACCATTTTAAACAGGAATTTTTAAATAGAAGGATTTTTAGGATTTTTATTTAGAAGGATGATACAGTTTGAAATGTCCAAACAGCATTAGTGTTTTTAATTTCTGCTTTGTCTTGGAACAAATGTTCTCAGGTGCTAGCTTGCTGATATTAGTACACTTGTCACTAGAAAAGAAAAGAAGAAATGTTACTAGAGTGCTTGTGCTTGAGTTAAAATATGCAACGTTTTTTTTATAAATGGAAAATATCCCCATTACAGAAAAGAAGCCTATATAATCCAGTTGACCTGTTTTTATTTATTTGATACAGGAGTATATACTTACCACCTTCGCTGTTATGTCTACCAGGCAAGAAATCTCATGGCTTTAGACAAAGACAGTTTTTCAGGTATGGAAAAATCCTGCTGGTTTAGCTACAGAATACCTTAAATACTTAAAGTTTATGCATAGGTCCCAGTTACTGAAACTACACCACAAAGGAAGTCCCAGCTTCATCATGGCTTCACCA